TTTAACTTACAATAAAGGGATGTCAAAACCTGGGAACATACAGTATTTTCTGTTTATTTCAGCATTATTGAAACAAACATTAAAACTTAAGGGATGGACAACTAAGCCTAATAAGTATATCGATAAAAATTCAAGTGTTTAAAAATATGTATATGATGTCTAAGTTACAAAATTTTGTTTGAATTTAAAAATAAATAAAAATATTAATAAGGAAACAAAATGATTTTACAGTTTACTAATTTTAAACAAATAATTCATTAGATTAAGCTTTCCATGAATCCTTTTGATATGATAATGGATATTAGATTTTTTTTTTTAAATTTACATTTTTTTATTGATACATGTAACAAGTCCCTTTTAGAAAAGAATATTTAAAATCTAAAAATCTAAATGAATGGAATTGTCTATGACCTACTTGTTAAGGTATAAGCTTTAAGATTTTAAGGGGATAATTTAAAGGAACTCCACTGAGGTCCAAAAGCCTAAAAACATAGCTTTTGCAATGCTTTTGGGTCATTTTTCACAATAAAAATTACTAACTCTGGAAAAATGGATTGATCTAAAATTTTGAACACAAGTTATTGGTCTAGACCTACATCAAATGTAACATTATAAATCTCGAAAAATTATTTTCAGTCCTAGCTGTCAATTGTCAAAAAACCTCAGTGGAGTCCCTTTAAGAAGTATAAAGTGTAAAGACATAACATTTGGAAAATTAAAAGTTTTTTCTTTTTAAAGTATAATAAAAATAAATATAAAATCCCAATTTTTAAAGGGACATAGTCCCAATATCAGTATCAAAGAACCCCTTTACCTATTTTAACAAAATTCCCATTCAGAAAACATATTTATGTAACTTTTATTTTTAATTGTACAATTTTCACTAAAAAAATAAAAAAATGTTTTTTTTATATAATTTAAATTAAAATTTTATTTTAACAAAAAAAAATTTAATATATTTTAAAAAGGGGAAGTCAACACTTAGCGGGTGAAAGAAAAGGATCTATTTAATTTTAAATTTTCCCCTAAAACTGATGAATGGTTTTTTCCAGCTTTAAAGATGGACAAGTCCATTTAATAAAGATAGAGTGGTAAAGGTTTAAATTGTTTAGCAAGTATAATATAAGGTAGGTGTATCACACCAATAGGTTTTTCAAACATCTCCTGCATTCATTTCCCACATGCAGGATAAGCAAAAATCTCATGAACTTCATCACAACTTTGATGGCAATTTTAATTTCAGATTTGTTAACTGGTAAATTACACTCATTTGATTAACTCAGCAACATATGCTCTTTTCGCTTTTGTTTTCAAAAGAATCATTATTGAATATATGTGATTAAGTATTCCTTCAGATAAGTAAATTTAATACATGTACTAGACTTGCTACTTTGATCAGCATGGATTTCTAAATCTTAAAACAGTCTAACAATTTCACAGTAGATAAACAAAACCACACCTTGCGAGTGTTATTAATACAATTCAATGTGTACCATATCTTGCAATTATATTAGGGTTGTACAAGAAAGTCTTGCCATTACAAGCACCTGTTACCTCCTATGTTTGTAACTTTCTTGGAAGCCTACAAATACCTGTCTCCCCCATTTCTTACGGAAACAGGAAGTATACTCTTATTAATCGACAGTACACTTGTCAGATATGTTCAAATTTATATCACATGATCAGTCAGAGTAACATATTCTAACAACAACAACAACAAATATCAAATACCGTTCTGACCAATATGATTGGTCAGAGATTCTTCATTTCTTTAACTAACCTAACTATATATTATATACAATGTTTGGCAAGATATTGTCCCAACTAATATCGTTTTAAGATCATTTATGTATATTATTAAAAATAGAATCCACTCTCTAGTATGTAGTTTTTTAGTTTTTTTTACTTGCTAATAATGAACTTCTGTGTTTTATCAGTGAAATAAAATTGTATTTCATTGACTGCATTAAACTACTTATTGTCAGTGAAATATAACAATGAATATCACTTGCTACAATGAAATGAGCCGTGTCACGACAAAACCATGCTGTTCACTTACAAACCCTATAACAAGTAGAGAAACTGACAGCGAACAGCATGGATCCTGATCAGACTGCGCGGATGCGCAGGCTGGTCTGGATCTATGCTGGTCACAAACGCATTACGTTGGTTTTGTCATGACGCGGCTCAAATGTAATCATATTACTCACTATCACAACTTACTGTCAGTAAAATATAATCAAATATCACCCATTACTACAACATATATTTGTTCAGTGAAATATAATCATATATCACCACTACCACTTACTGGCCATGAAATACAATTATATATCACCTACTATCACAACTTTTTGTCAGTGAAATACAATCATAAATCCCCAATATGGAATATAATTATTCCTAATACCACTTATTGCCAGTTAATTATAATCATATATCACAACCACACTAGCTTACTGTCAGTGAAATATATCCCCATACTGCCACTTTCCGATCAGCTAACAGATTTTTCTACAATAACTGACAGTGAAATTATATATCAGGGCTGCCAACAGCAAATTTCAAAATCAGCGGAAAATACGCCGGGGGTCAAGGGGGCTGCGCAAGCCCCCTTTGCAGGTCCAGGGCAGAGCCCTGTTGGGGGTTCATGGGGCGAAGCCCCCGAAAGCTCCTGGATTCTGATGATTTGTTATGCCCTAAAATCAATTTCCTGGACTCTAAATTTGACAAATATCCGACATTTTGACGCATTTTGACAACAGACAAGAGCGACAATGTAAACTGTAATTTGATTGGTTATTCTAAAATAGAATGCCGGAAAAGACTCGATATGACCAATGAGAAAAGCTCTTACAGATGTACCATAGGCGGCTAGCGTAACGATAAAAGCCGAAGCGTGCCGGTTTTTGGGTACTGTATAAAATATGACGAATGAATTTTTTGTCTTTGTCGAATTTACATCGATCTCAAAAAATACCCAGGAGCTCACGAAATCCGCAGATTTCCGCGGATCCGCGGAAAATCGGCAGCCCTGTATATGTAAAAAAAAATCTTACAATTCTGCAAATATTATCATTTAAGCTAATAAATGCAACAACTTTTTAAAATTTTACCTGAATTATTATTATGAATAGAGGACAAATCATTACTGACCCATTTTCCTGTTCTTCAAAATTTCACAACCACTTTTCAATCAGTTAACAAAATATACACTGTACCACATAAAAATTGTCATACAATGTTAAAATATAACCAGTTATGTATTTTGAAGAAATTTTGACTAACTCAAATTCAGATAAATGGTAATAAACAATTTTAACCTATGTATAATGCCATTTTTCAATTTTGATATCTATTTGCAGTAGTCACGCTGTCAAAATTGGGGTATGGATGTACAACAGAAAAAGATTGTTCTTTTGAAATTTTTAGGATCTTAGGGTCTATATGACCCCATTCTAGTGAAAGCTTACTGAAAAGTTATCAGAGAGAATGTTTTTCCTTGGTTAACCCATTGCTTCATGAGCATTTTGTGAAAAATGGCTGTTTTCATTGAAAAGTCTCCCGTTACAAGTTCAAATTGCTATAATACTATAAAAACTGCTTCAACACTAATCAAACTTGGCACAAATGTTGACTGAACCATTGTCCTTGCAACAACATGCTCAGACTTAAATTTTCTGTTACCATGGCAACGAGGGGACATCTCAAAATTGCCAAAAATCACTATTTTGCGTTGATTTTTTCCATCAAAATTGATTTCAAAGTGCTGCAACTTATCAATGGATTGAGATAGAGTCAAATTCTTTTCAGCGTTGGTTACACGTTACCTTATGATCAATCTGGGGTCATTTACAGCCTCTTACAAGTCGTCCAAAATTTTCTTGGCGATGAGGGGGACTCCGCCCCCCTTCAAACCCCCCAAAACAGAAGGGGGCACATCCCCCTTCTGGCAACCCCCTGATGTATCTTTTGGTTGGGGGCCGCGCCGAAAAAGAGGTCAATTTTTTTAACAACATTTCTCAAACAAAAACAAGTGTTTGGGGCCTAAATAAGGCATTTTTTCATCATTTGAGACAACAAAAAGGGGGGGGGGTGAAAAAGGCGTTAAAAGGCGTGTATATGAAGTAATGGGTTAACTGAAAATGATGAAAATACTTGAAATTACCCTAAATCGCGTTTTTTCATGTTTAAACATGGCCTGCCATATAAATTTGAAGAAAAATTGTTGTTTTGTAGATTTTTTTATTTTTTTCATTAACCCATTGCTTCATGAGCATTTTGTGAAAAATGGCTGTTTTCATTGAAAAGTCTCCCGTTACAAGTTCAAATTGCTATAATACTATAAAAACTGCTTCAACACTAATCAAACTTGGCACAAATGTTGACTGAACCATTGTCCTTTGCAACAACATGCTCAGGCTTAAATTTTCTGTTACCATGGCAACGAGGGGACATCTCAAAATTGCCAAAAATCACTATTTTGCGTTGATTTTTTCCATCAAAATTGATTTCAAAGTGCTGCAACTTCTCAATGGATTGAGATAGAGTCAAATTCTTTTCAGCGTTGGTTACACGTTCCCTTATGATCAATCTGGGGTCATTTACAGCCTCTCACAAGTCCAAAATTTTCTTGGCGATGAGGGGGACTCCGCCCCCCTTCAAACCCCCCCAAACAGAAGGGGACATATCCCCCTTCTGGCAACCCCCTGATGTATCTTTTGGTTGGGGGGCCGCGCCGAAAAAGAGGTCACTTTTTTTAACAACATTTCTCAAACAAAAACAAGTGTTTGGGGCCTAAATAAGGCATGTTTTCATCATTTGAGACAACAAAAAGGGGGGGGGGGGTGAAAAAGGCGTTAAAAGGCGTGTATATGAAGTAATGGGTTAAGTGACTGTTACTTTACTGACATATTACCTTCCAATTAAGAATTGTAAGGTAAAATATGTACATATTAAAATTATAGCTTTTGAAGTGCAGTATACATTATGACATGATGATATTGAAACAGTTGTCAAACTTAATATCCATTTTTGCAGACTGACAAAAAACTGAGTCTGTAAATCAATTATTTTTAGAAAATTATTGCGATTTGTTACTGGATAAATAAAGGATTAGTGGAAAACACACATTTTACATATTTTGAACTAATATACTGGTATTTTCTTTTCTATCGCCTTAATTGACATTGCTGCTAATAAATGTAGTCAAGGTAACTGCAAGATGTGCTTACAGTTTGGTTACATGACAAATAAGGTCAAAAATAAAGAATTTCTAGGGATGATTAAAAAGTGCTTGTGATTGAAATCTGGCAGTATGTGGATAATTATGTATCACATACACCACTTATTGTCTGAGTGAAATATAATTATATATGCATATATATATTTTTCGAAGTACAACAACTTAATAGCTGTGAAATACAATTATATATCACCACCACCACTTACTGTCAAGAAATATAATTATATATCACTTACTAACATAACTTATACTGTTCTCTTTAAACAGCATAATGCATGAATGACAAATATATTTGTACAATAATTTTCTATATGTATATATATATATTTCTGTCAAACTTTAAATATCAAACTTAATGTTTTGTGAGAAAGCATCACTATCTTCCTACAATCTTCATTACATAAGATATATTTTATATTTCACACACAAATAAACAAGATATTACAAGTACAAATTTCTCATATCATTCACTATTTTTATAATCCATTAAATCATCTGTTACTAAGATACTTTAACATAAGACAATTATCAGACAATAACACAAATACAGCGTAAGACATTCAATACTTATATACATGTATATAATCCACATTAGATAAGATTTCTATTTACTAACTGCTGAGGTACTCACAAAAAAATGCAAATGCCATCAAATAATACTGATAATAGTTTGTTCAAGTACATGTTTCAAATATTCCAAATACTGTTATGTCCTCTTCAAGACAGATCCTCTGATTCTCCAGCTACTGAAGGATTTTACTTATTAAGATATTCAAATGAACATTGTCACCATGACATTCTTTATTACTTACAGATATGTACTTGTCTCAGGCTTCATATTTCATTTCATATATCACATTTTTCAGAGGCATCCCATTAATATATCTTAGGTTGTATACAGCAAAATATATCAGCTTAATATTTTCCATTTTTCATATTCCTGATTTCACATTTTTTCACATAATCACTTTTTAGTTTTACATATTCACATAGTACATTCAATATTTACATAATAATATTTTCCCATTTTGATTTTCACATGATATTTTACTGTACAACTTTTTTGATTGAGTACACAATGTCATCCATTATTTACAGCGGCTATTTTGTAATGGGAGGCAGACTCCCTATCTCATGAGCATTGTCTTGTTTATGAATTTGTCCCTGTAGATTTAACTTTGTTATATGTACTTCTTCCACTACACTTGCATCTGTCGCTTTCTTTCCACTCTTTATAGACTTTGAACTTTGAGCTGTAACATAAGTAATTGTAACATAATTTTTATTTTTATGATACAATTTTTTTTTCATTGGTTACCGGTATACATTTCTTAGTGGACAATGCGTTCAACATTTCTTTGTGGTATTAAAACAGAGCAAAAAAAAAATGGGCATAACTTGGCAAAAAACTATTTTTAATAATTATCTGTCCTTTAAAATAATTATGAATTCAAATTGTTTCACCATAAGATGAAGGGACCAATAATTTGTGTGCAACAGCTCAGATCTTTTGCTCACTTTGTTTTTGAGAATTATCATTTATTTGTGTAAAATATGAGCCAAAATTGAAAAAAGTTTAAACATCTTTGACTCAGATGTGACTAAAGATTCCACAAAATCAATATTCAATTTAAATCTGGTTACATTTCTTTACCTTTTGCATATTTCTATGTTTAAACTGCCCCAGTTGATCTATGTTAGAATAAAAAAGTATACATTTTTAAAGCCTTTCCACCTTAGTGGAGCTCCCTTAAAATGATAAAACTAACCTCTGTGTGTTTTGATTTCATCATGACTTTGTTCAGCCGAGGCGCCAACTGGTGGAACTCGTTCCTCTTTCTTAGAACTGCCTTTCTTTAAGTTTAACTTCCATTCGTCTGTTTTTGATTTTTCTTTTACAGGAGGTTGAGCTGGTGTCTTGTAGGGGTCGGTGGAATGATCGGAGTGAGCAGACTGGTTACCATGGTGATGTTTAGAACTCGAGTGTTTCGCGTGGCCCTGATCTTTACGACGGTGTACTAGGCCCTCTTTAATCCACTCGTGTTGTAACGCTTCTTCTGGGGTCAGTCTTGTTGAAGGATCCCAACTATAATATTAATCATATATTAAACAGTATGTTTGTAACATCACTTTTCATTTTGATAACAGTAAATATAATACAATGTAATATATAAATATATTAACTATATACACAGATTCTGTCAATATATGCAGTAATGTTTTTTTTATTTCTCAAATACAGAAAATTTGCTTTATCATAAATTTGTTATAGATTTTTGACAGGTTATATTGCCAAATATAAAAAAGTTCTTCACAATATATCAAGTTGCTTAGTGGTTTGTGTGCAAACAACAGTTTATATAGGGCCATATAACCTATCTAAAATCTTTATAACTAAATGACAAATCCAACTACATATAACTATATGCATTTTGAATACCCAAAGATTGGGAAGGTGAGAAGGTAAGGGGGAGATTTTGGAACAGAGTAGATATTGTACAAAGAATTGATTTAGGTAATATTTATGTCTTAAAAAAAAAAGTTTTGATAAAAAAGATTCAAAACAATTTTTCAATACATGTTACACTTTTTTGGCTTTGACAGTTTACAAAAGTTTAAAAATTAAAAAAAAAAGAACAATTTTATTTGATTTTAAAAAATACATATACGAGACAACAAACATTAAAGATAACAGTGTATAAATTTATGAATGTGCAAGGAATGTGATAAAGTAGAGTCACTATAGGACAACTTACTCTAAACATCTCCTAATAAAATCTAGGAAATTAGCATCACTAGTTTTAATAGCCTGTTGAAGATCTTTCGAGGAAACACGTCTTTTCTTGCCTTTACTATTTGTTATACATCTAGGATTACCTTTAGAATCTGTAAGTATAGATCATATAAGATAAACATGTATCATTTACAAAGAGTGTATAAATGACTAAACATAAACATTCTTATTGACTAGACAATTCAATTAGCACCACCCTTCCCTCAATTACCACCACCCTTCCCTCAAAAAGCACCCATGACCTTTCTAAACAACTGAAATCCCTTCCAGACAGCAGCCATGGCTCTTCCCTCCAATTAGCAACCCCCTTCCCCTGAATATGCACCATCATCAACAAAGTAAACATGTTTTTACAGGGAATTATCAACAAGTTTTTCCTTATATGACTTACCAAAGAAGAGACGTCTCCTAGTTGCTTGTTCTAGCACAAGATTTGGAGGTAGACCTAGAATCTCCATTATACACGCTAATTGCTCCACTTCATTTTCTCCAGGAAATAAGGGATATCCTGAAATATACACAGCTTATCGTCAATAAAAATCTTAAATACTTTTACGTATACAATATTATATCAAATCTCAGAATAATTTACTTTATCCATTTAAAACTTGCCACAAGTTTTCTTTACTATGGGAGCTGTTGTCCCTTAATTATATACAGGCAATTATAAATATAGCAGTAAATGAACTTAATAATATCAACAAACATTTGATATGTCTCCCATTGTATGTGAAATCATACATACACTTTTGTTTTTTGTGTGTGTGTTTTTATTTTTTGGTGTTGTTTTTTTTGGGGGGGGGTGGGGTGGGGGGGGGAGGGGTAGGGTTTATGAACGCCAAGTATACGCTTTTTCCTAATGGGCACAAAAGTTTTGAAAATTCCCCAAAACAATCCAGGTTTCAAAACACCACATTTGTGTGTACCCTATAAGTACTATTTTCTGCGGGAACTTTATTTCTGCTATTTCTGCAGTTCATATCGACACCGCAGATTTAAAAACCTCAGAAAATTAAGCCTTTCCGTATGTATATGTCAGCCCTCAGGCCATAATACGCATCTTCGGGCCATAATTGCATAATGGCGAGCAGCCACCAAGTATACACCTCTAAATAAACTTGGAATTGCCTGCTTTTATCAATTACATAAATTTCAGCAGGTTAAAGCAGCATGACTCCAAATTCATGTTGATTTTCATTAAAAAATTTTAAAATGTATTTAAAAGTAAAATAATGTGAAGTGAAATACACATTGTTAATGGCACTTACAATCCAAGTAAATTATCAATAGTTACGCAGTAGAAATGTAGTGATAAATACTGCACAATCAGTCATTAATAGCACATTACATGTACTTGAATCTTTTAGTTTTTCTTAAAACTCTTAGTACATTCTTCTCAAGTTTGATTTTATTGAACAATTTTGGCTCATCTGGAGGCAATGTAGCTTTAAGGATTTAAAACAAGTGTTTGATTTCTCCACCATGACATTTATTTGTGCTATTATTCAACATAATTCATAATATGGACCAAATCGCATTGACCCTCTCGGTTGAACTATTTTCCATTTAAATGTCTTACACAATTAATCTCTAATCTCAGTAAGTATATAATCTCTAACCACCATCAAACAATTTACAAATATAGAAATGCATTGTAACAAGTGCCCTTATTATAAATACATAGAGAAATAAGTTCATTTATAAATCTATGTTTTTTCACTTCGGGGTCAATCTAAAGTTACCAAAGCCTTATAAAAATTCAATATTATAAATGAACTTTTAAATGAAGAATGAAAATCTACAAAATTTAAGTGTACAAATTTCACATGGAATTATGAAGAAAAACTTATTTCAATAAATTTCAATTCACATATTATTTATTTACCTTTAAACAAAACAAAAAATAAATATAAAAAAAAAACAACAACAAAAAAACCCCACAAAATAGATGAATACAGAATCCCTAAAGAAAGCCCAACACGGCAAAATTGAAAATGTTGCAGGCTCGGTTTGATTGAGCCTGTTCATGGACGTTACTTTTTACAAAAATTTAAGAGGCAATACAAAGCATATATCATGAAATGAACAGATTTTTTTTTATTAGAAATACCCTCCAATATAATTAAATTGAGCAATAATTACTGGGAGCATGCAAATATTTGATTGCATGTTGAAATTTGTTAAGCCCATCTCACACAGAACACACGGCTTATACGGTTGGCCACCCGTGTAAACCATACATACAACCGAACTAACCGTGAGTTTAACCAAGTTACACTCGGGACATTCGAGTGTATCCGTGTAAGCTGTGTATGATTTTTAAAACTTTTAAAAAACTGGTACGGATGTAATGTCCGTGTATGATCGTATAAACGACCGTACAAGACCGTAAGAGACCGTATATACAACTGTATTTGAAGTCCACTCCACGAGTGAGCCCAATCGTGCCAAGATCTTATATAAATCGTATGGAATCGTTCGAGACCGTCCCCAAGTCCTACATCCAACACCCGATTAATATCCGAATGTCACACGATCACGGTACGATTCACTCGAGTACACACACGGTTTCATACGATCCCCATACGACCAATACGGTTCAAGTACGAATCATACATGGCATACACGGTATAGTACGGGTATACACGGTCTCACCCAGCCTCGTACCGTCTTACACGGCCTCAGCATGAACTGTACAACGAAAACTAGAATGTATCCAAAGAAGAAGGTTCCATCACACAGAAGGAATGCAAGAATGGACACCCAGGCCCGCTGACCACTCAGACTTTCAGCCCCTGCCAAGCCTGATAAGCAGCGGAACCCACCAACGTCTATCAGTCTTATCATGATTTCTAATTCCCTTGTCCTTTAATCTTTTCCATCTGGCATTGTTTTATATAACCAATATTCACATATATAGGACTGGTGTTCTTCGTTAAAAATTCGAAAATTTATAAGTCATCAGAATTGGTCAATTTATATAAAAAACATACACGAATATGTGATAATTCGAGCATAACTCAAACAAAAGTCGGCGGGACCCTATGTAAACCCTGTGAATATCTAGAAAATCGAGTTAAAGTCATGTTTAATTGTACCAGGCCGTACTAGACCATACTTGGAACCGTGCAACAATCGTATGTATTCGTATGCAAATCGTGATCAAACCTTGCTTGACTGAGTATATCCGTCCTTTATTCGTACATGCTCGTGCTACATTCGAGTCTAGCTCGTGCCAACTAATCCCCAAGCACGGTTGGAGCTAAATACTCGTACCAGTCAATCCGTGTATAACTGAGTATACCGTATGGGAACCGTGTACCCAACCGTGTTTTGTGTGAGACGGGCTTAACACAATTCAAGAAAGTTTTCTTTTCAGTTAAAACATCATGACATCAAGCTTTGATGACATCATGAAGTGCTTTCCTGAGCAAAAATCAGTGAAAATTAAAAAATGTATGATCAAATGATATTTCACTCATGAAGAATAGCTTCATCACACATGAATATATTGAATCTGAAGTTGATTCTGTGAAATAAATATTTTATCATCTTACATGCAAAAAAACAAAATACATAATTAACAGAGAGTCATACCGGTGTATAATTCTGCAAGGATACATCCAAAACTCCACATGTCAATTGGCATAGAATAAGGCAAGCCTAGAATAACCTCGGGAGATCGGTAAAATCTACTCTGTATGTATGTATATACTGAAAGAAAATATAAAACATTAAAGTTAAACTCAATATCTTCATATTCTTTATGTAAATTAATAAAAAGATATTATAATAAACAGACCAGTACTACAGAATGGTTTTAAACAATTATTTCTATGCTCAAAATTTAATTTGCAAGCCTATCCTCTTCAACTTCTTTTTGACTTCAAATCACTTGCCGACCTCACTGCTGTGGGTTCAAATCCCAACAGGGACTTTAGATGCTTTCATATGAGGAAGCTATCCAGCTAGCTTATGGAACTTCAGTGGTTCTACTTAGGTGCCCTTTCGTGTCTGAAATAATGCACGGAAAGGGCACATGAGGTCTTCCTCAACCAGTGAATCAGGAACGCAGCCATATGACCTACACTGAGTCGGTGTGATATAAAACCCCATCAAGTAAACAAACTTTCACTTATTTCATGATTTAAACATGAAATATATCTATAGACATGGATGCCCTCATTTTTCACTGTTTTGTCTTTCTGTGACAGCAGGTGTGAGGGACATTAGGGCTAATCTATATGCCCCCATGCCCTGCAAGAGCGAGGGGGTCATAAGAAGTCTTCACCCCTATGTACAGCACTTGTTCACTAAAAGGAAAGTAAAAGCCAGTTTATATGCTGTCTATAGCTATGTTACACTCCATTCTTTACAAGCAAAAGATAACTTCTACTCAGCCCCTTAAATTCAGTGGAAAATATATCTGGATTTCAAGTTGAATCAATATAATTTCAGTTATACAACAATTTTACTGTTTCACATGTCACCTTAGTGCAGTAACAGGTTAACTCCTTAAATAATAGGAGTTGACGTTACTTGTTGCTGCACTAAGGTAATGATATAAGTACGTTTTGGTACAGGCCTACCACTGGTAGAACAACTCTCTTCTGAATAAGCTTCCAATGTTGATTCTTATTTAATTGAGTTTGACGCAGGAACATGTCAAATGATTTCAAGTAAACAACCTTAATCACAGATACCCTACCAATTGGTAAATAATCTTTAATCAAATCATAAAGGAGGAAACTGCAGGAAATTGCATGCAGACAAAAACTGGTCAATGAAAGAAACTAGTAATAAAAGTCCCCCACTGGAAATGGCATTGTTCAATTAAATACAACCAAAACTTAATAATAAGTAATTAAGTACAATTAACTGGCTGAAATCAATAGCTGGTTGTTAATGATAGATGAAGGTACTGTATATTTTATATATGAGATAATCAATATAGCACTTGCCTTTTAAATGGCTGCAATACTTTCAATGAAATATTTGCATGCAATACAATAAATATCTAAATTTCTCCAATAGAAATCAGACTCATAAGTGAACCCTTGCTGACTTGACTGAAGTTGAATAGGTTCTTTATAGGATTTAAAGTAATTGGAAGTAAAAAATTCAATATTCTATAATTTCTAAGTGAAAGGGGCACTTTTGTTAATTAAAGGGGTTGAAGAGTTATGGAACCTATTATGAACACTAATAAAGTTTGTTTAAATTTAAGTCCAGATCATATGAATCAACAGGTTCCAGAATTATTATAAGAAAATGTAGATTTTTGAAAAAAAAGTGGGAGATAATTTTATAAAATCAAAGGTCAGGAGTTATGGAAAATTGTCCTTTGGAAATTAAAACATATAGCATTTGGTTAAAATGGATATCTTTGGGGCTTAAAAAGTATATCAACATATTTGCAATATTTTAAAGGTTTATTTGTGACTATATCAACCAAATTTCATAAAATAAGACCAAAATGAAAAGATGTTCATATTGCCATCTATCCCTTTGTCAAATTTCACAGAAATATTCAAAGTGTTTTCTTCTAAATTTTCACAGAATTCAGTTTTCCAGCTGGACAGCTATAAGGAATGTGGGCAACCCTAAGTTCCCATCCCCAACACCCCTACTGGTAGGGGACTTAAAATATTTACTAATAAACCAAGAAGCTATGAATTTTTACCTCTTTGATGTTCATAACAGCTAGAACCAAAGTCTATCACTTTAATTGAACTTTGACCTCTTTGTCTTAACAAAATATTCTCCTGAAATAAATGGAACAATTATTTAGAAATGTGTTATATGGAAAAATAAAAAGTCTCAAGATTTATGTACTGAACATGATCCCTAAATATCTGAAATGGACCCAAAATAGACTTGACCAATTTTCAATGTTGACAAAACATTATTTCTATATATCAATTGAACTAAAATTAACTCTGTATAAACTAATTATGATGATACCTCATCCCATTTACTATCGCAGTATTAGAAATGATGACAGTGTTCACTATACATGTATATTAAAGCTTTATGCCAAGAAAAAAACTACCTGTTTCCATTTGTTATATAGTTAATATGAACAGGGGTGTCTTAAGATTTTCTCAGACAGCCTATTTTTGAATTTGAGGCGATCTTTTTTTAATTAATTACACATTTCTGATTTTATCACATACAAAAAAGAATGGTTTCTTAATTTTGAGGCAGCCTAAAACCGCATTTGAGACATTCATTCTGTCCTACAACTGCTTCCTTTATTATGACAACCCCAATAATGTCATGTACTGTTTAAAGAGGACACTGTCTCTAGAATATCAGGCAGTCATAAAAACTTAATAATAATTTACTTACAGGTTTAAGATCACAATGTATTATTTTCTCTCGCTGTAATAACTTCAGGCACTGTAGAAGGGAGAAAGCAAATCTACGTATAAGCGCTATACTAAATCCCTGAAAATTGTTCTTCTTAATCAACTCATACAGATTCATCCTGAAATAATAAAATAAGTAAATAAAATGAAATCTTCATTGCATAAAACATCCGACAATTTAAAGACTTTTACTTGCACAATGCACTCATATATACTACTAAACACTATTAAAGGAACATCACTGAATTTCAAAAGCATATAAACATACAATTTGAAAATCTTACATAGGTCAACTGGAGAACTTAAAATGGGAAAATAAAGAAAAAGATGAATACATGTATTTCAAATATTGATTTAAACAATTGAAATGTTATGTCTGATACTAAATACTATCAACATAATTATTTATTGTATCACAGACCTTCAGTATTGACAAATTCACTTTAAATGATGACAATGAATTATTTTATAAAGTAATCTCTGGTTTTATGCTTCTATCCAAAAGGTGACCTGTTCATGGGTCTGGTTGGTACAGATGCATGCACCTGTTAAGTATGGAAGCCCTAGGTGGAAGGACTTCCATAATATGTTCAAATTAAAATTTTTGCTACAAACAAACAGATAAACAAACAAACACAAACCAAAAAAAATATACGCTTCCAATCTATCGATTAGGTGAGCATAAAAATCTTTTAAATATAAAAATATCAGACTTACCCCATGAGTTCGAAGGTGATACAAAGATGGTTTCTAAAATAGAAGTATTCCCCCATGTGAATAATGTTGAACTGATTATCTTTATCTTTGCGGCGAAGAGCATCTAAAATCTTCACCTCCACTAAGGCCTGGTGGTGAAATCTGGGGACATGAAATATTCAATATTCATGACAAATATATTTGTGTACATATTCATAACTTAGCTGAATATATAACTAAAACTCAGGAGGGATCATTTTAAAAAAATCTCATGTGAATCTCACAATAACACGCAATTTTTAGAATAAATGTTAGTTTTAATGTGTAAAATTAAGTAATCCTCTAGACCTTATATACTTTAGTAACTGCATCTTTTTCTTTATTTTTATAAATTTCTCATTCAAACAGCACACTGTTCATTTATTGTGTATAGTTCTTAAAATACTTGCGATGCTGAACATAATAATTATACACAGACGCGAAATTGTATTTTTACAGCCAAAATTTTAGTGTTACAGTGAAATCTCAATACAAATATATAATACAACTTAAAATACTGAATATTTTCAAGTAGTAAATAAATTAACTGAATGAATATATAAGATAAACGAAATAAATAAATGAAACACACATAAATAAATATATATAAATAAAAAAAAATTTTTTTTTTACTGAAGATAAGATAAATACTATCTTTCTCCTGCAGCCCCTCTTTGAAATAATAACAACAATGATAAATAATAATAATAATCCTCATGAATGGTTTACCTTTTTTTGTTCCTGATAATTTTAATAGCTACCATTTGATCTGTTTTATAATCATACGCCTTCACCACTTGTCCAAATGAACCTTTACCTAGCACCTCAAAAATCTCATAGCGATAAACCAAATGGTCGTGTAGCACCTGCGTGTAGGTAAAGAAAACAAACTTGCAGTACCAAAACAAAAACCCAACAAATATTGTGATAAAACTGAACTCATTTTTGATGCAATGCACAATGTGTTTAGAAAATCAGTACTCCTATAGTGCTACCAAACATATATTTTGTGTAAATATTTCAATCAGAAACCAATGGTACCAAATGTTCATAGAATTGACAGAAAAACTCACTCCCTGCAATGCTTTGCACAAAAAATATGCTTCAAGCAAAATGTTTCAAAAGGTAAATGTTTGTCACTTAAAGGGATACACAGGCAAAATTTTCATTTCTTCGTTTTGAATTTTTCATTCATTTATCTGTAAATGTCCTCAAAATGAATACACTAGGCAGTAACAGGAACAAAACTTTTCTTCCTATAAAGAATAAAATGGCGGTTTCCTAACCTGACCCGCGTTGGTCAGGTTAGAGTGTTAAAATTTCACAATAGTTGTCACAGTGATATCTGAAAACGTTAAAGAACATGTGAAATGAATGATTTAGGTTTGTTTCAATCATACCATATCCACAATATCTGTTATTGTAGCTTCCAGGGCTTGTTCAAGTCACATTGCTAGTTTTACAACTACTCAGTGATTCTGCCGGCGTCTAAATTTCGTTCAACATATATAGGTATATTTATGCTTCAAATCCAAAATAAATAGAATTTTTACAGAAATTTATGCTGGGACTTTTGCAAATGTTATTCTAGTGTGATTCGAGTACATAAGATAATTTTGATATTTTTGTGATAAATTTGCCTGAGTATCCCTTTAAGTGCAGTAACAAGTTAACTCCCATTAAAATTTAATAGGAGTTAACCTGTTACTGCACTAATGGTGATAACATCGTGCAAAATGACACATTTCCTCTAAATCTGCAAGACCATTTATGCTAAAAACCAACACTTGTACTGGTGTCTACCTTTTATTGCCCTCCTTTAAAACTTTGACAGTAGTAATTTTCATATGTTTATGATCAAAGGTTTTGACACATTCTGAATGAACCCCTATACCAACAACTTCAAATATTTCAAATCGATATCCCAGATGGTCACCCACAATCTGTTGTTTGAGTATATGGCACAATTAAAACAAATTAAAAATATATATCAGAAGCAGAAAGTGGGGTGGGGCGGTAATGATAATACATAAGTTATGGTAACAAATGGAATACAGATATGAAAGAACCAAAACTTCATTGGAAAGAAGAATTGTACAGTATTTCATAAGCTTCACATGGAAGCTGAACAATTTGGAGGAAACTAAAATTTTTGAAGATTTTATCATGGCACCTATTAATCACATGTGAGTAATTGCAAAAGGAATGACCAGTAAACTACAGTAGAAGTAATGACTAGAGTTATCTTACCTTTATATATGAGCCATTTTCATCATCATAACCATTATTTTGAGCACTTCCTGGTTCCCCTTCTATTTTCTTACCCTCTAGTCCCAGGAACCAGATTTCAGGATAGTCTAATATTTCAGTCTGTTCAAATGCTGTAAGCTTTCCTCGGTATAATTTGAGAGCCTCTGAAATGATATAAAATATTTCATCAGCAATATAATGAATTTTCTGAACATCAATGACACATTAGAAAGAGAAGGATATGTAATGACTGTGTTGTATATCAGCTTCTTATATTTCATTTATTTTCATTTGGGTAAGTCAAAAAAGATTTGTTCAGATGGTTTACAATAACAACATAATCAGAAAAAATATTCAGCCAAGCTGAAAAACAGTATCTGTTCATAACTCTTAAACTACTAGTACTGCCTTTGCCAAGTCAATTTTTGTACTTTGATATCGAAATTCTTTAACTCTTAGCCTGAACTACCCATGCAGACGAATATCTTGGACTGCACTGTTCACTATAAGTCTGTCCATATTTTTTAAAATAAAAAATGATGGATGTTTTTGTCATTAATAAAACATTGACAACACCATTTTAAATATTCAGTGTGTACAAAATTAATATATTTAGTGTAGTTTGAATCCAAATGGATTGTTCCAAATTCAAATAACAGGCAAAATTCACAACTAAAATTCTACAGGGTGAAAGTTAATATCAGCTCTGTCATATTAAAGACTTAAAATATGAAAGTTCAAACACAAAAATTTCATTTTACCAGCAGGTGTCATTGGCAACTTGTTGCCATACTGATCCCTTTTACTCCGTTCTGGCGTTCCTATTGTGGAGTAAGTATTCTGTCGAGTTACAGACTCAGTCTGTTTTAACGATGGTAAAGTGGACTGGTCTTCATCTTTGTGTCTGCGGTGATGATGTTGATGCTCAGACTGGTTCAAATGAGGTAATGTTGTTGTAGGGGCAACCGTGGCAACCAATTTACCCTAAAAAATAACCAGTCCATTTGCAAATGAAAAGTGTGACATTAACAGATTTGTTAATAAATAACGAAATGTGGAATAATGAAAAATTAGAAATATAGTTTTAATGCAAAAATAGAAGCTATGCACCTTTTTCCAAGTATAACATCGCTGAAACCCCCGGGCCCTTGGACTAATTAAATGTGTCCTCGTGCTTTTACAGATGTTAATGCATGAAAAAGGTACACAAAAACTCTATATATAAGTTTGGTATAAAATTGTATACAATTGTATAAATTTCTAAATCAAAGAAAAAACTTCTGACAGTAACAAGAATCAGAATCTGAGAAAATTACTGTTTGCAAAATTGATGAAATACTAAAATTAAAGCTAGTTAAAGGAATGTATACCTCCGAATGGTGTATTCCATTTGAGCGATGTTTCCCTGAGTCTGAATGTTCCTTGTGTTTATGAGATGAGGAATGATGACTTGATTGTTGTTGACTGGTGGTGACGGTGTGACTATGACTGAGCGTCTGTCCGTCTGACTGGTGCTTAGATCTGTGATGACGGTGAGTACTGGCATGTGTTGGACTCTGAAACAAGTATATAACATAATTATATTAAAATTTTTTGTAGCTCGATCATGTTACCTCTCTTACATAAAAACTGCTCTTCTTGCATAAAAACTGTGCAGACATGTATATGCAATGTATCAACAGAGAAAATTATGTGCAGTTACAGGTCAAATCACACAAGCACATTGTTGAACCATTTTCAATATGCGTGATTCATAGCACCATATTAAAATAGCTTATTGTATTGACATGTTATAGTAGTTTCATTATTAAAACATAACTATCAAAATGATATCTCACTAGCAAGTGAAAAGCATCATGGTTTCTTTATATGAACACAATGCAAGAGTAGCGCTTATGCAGGCTTGGGCTTTAAAATCTGTCCTGGTGGTTCTACAGAGGTTAATGCACGTCAAAAACGTTGAATTAACTCTGTATTGATGATACTGATAGGTCAAGGGCACAAAAATAGAACCATTGTGCCATCTTGTACTTTAGTGCAAATTGACCTCAAGTCTGTTGACCCTTAAGTCTGTGGACCAACTGATTTCTTTTTTCCTTGAGATCATTAATGGACAATTCCAAATTAAACTCTGGCCAAGTACATTACACAATATTAGCAATATGGTGATAATAAATAGCAAATATTTGAGAAACACAGTAGCTTAGTGTTAGAATCTAGTCATTTGCAGACAGAATTATTAATGTCAATAAATAATGTTGGATTTGGATTAATAACTGGTTGATTGAACAAAGAAATTAACAGTGCCTACAGTGGTAATATACAGTAAAATGGATTGGTCAACAATAGGTACATTTTCTGTAAGGTATCATTTGGATATTCTTATAATATTTTACTTGAAAAAAAAAATAATGATACAAATAACAAAGTTGTTACTGATTTAGTATGAACATTCATGTAATATTTTATCATCTGCTACATAAATATATCATTATATATTATATGTAATATTAAATCATATATCCCACACCTGGCAACAAAATCCATATTATGTAATTCTTCCATGGTTTGTTGGACATTACATCTTGATACTAAATGAAATCAATACAATTATTTATTGTATTACAAACCTTTCATTATAGACCAAGTCAGTTTAAAGATGTATGAAATTGATACAATTACTGTTTCATTCCATATTTAATGAGTTCCATTCTGCATTACAACAACAGGTCTGATAGATGTAGTCATGACGTCATTAACAGAATTTATCTTAACTCAATAATGAACCTTACTTATATACCCATAAGTTTGCATTCTTTAACAAGTGGAAATTAATCTTACTATACCCATAAGTTTGCATTCTTAAAAAAGTGGAAATTAATCTTACTATACCCATAAGTTTGCATTTTTTAACAAGTGGAAATTAATTCTGTCGAGTTACTAACAACTTACTTCATTCTTAAGAAGATTCAGAAAAAAAAGAAACAATTTAGTTGTATTAATAGCTGCATATAATATTGCAAAATTTTGAAAGTTCTCTTTCCTCTCAAACCTAGAAGTGATCTATGTGCAATTGCTTCCAGACTGATAAACATTGAGTAATACACCTACAACCTTAAATATTACAATCTAGTCAAAGTTTAGTCTACATTACTAATGATTATAGAATTCAAACAAAAATTATTGTGCTCTCTGAAGTAAAGGGAGCTAACTCACCACATAATCAACAATGCTTACTCCCCCTGAGTACCTCTTTAAAGCTGATTTTAAGTTCCTTGAAATAATATCGATATCCGTTTCCATCCCTAATAGAAGATCCACTTTTTAGTTCATTTTATACTGACAAACATTCAAAACACATTGTCACTCATACGTACATCACAGCATCCTAATAACTTCAGTTTTTTTTATATATTTTCAAAAATATCATTTTCCTTAGTAAATCTTAAAATATATATATTCTATCCTTCAGCAATCACATGTACATGAATTCCATTATCCAAATCCCAATAAATGAATTTTATTTCCGTCAAAAACCATTTTCATTTGTTGCTAAATTCCTTTCTTTGATAATGTCTCTTATTTGAAATATATAGATATTTTTTTTAAATCCACCTTTCTTTATTTCAAATACAAAATACATATATATGACTGAGATCATTAGAAACTCCTTTCATAAAATAGGCTTTCTCCAAACTCACTTTAACAAATCTCGCTGTCAATTTATCAAAATCTCACTCAAACCTTAGGATCCCAAATTTCTAACATGAAACAATTCTGAAACTTACGTTCAGATCATATTAAAATTATGTGATTAAGACACATTTTTAGAACAGATATCAGCATTCTATTCATTGCAAAAATTAAACAAAATATTATTCTATATCCAGAATCTTATGTTTAATTGTGTACCAGATATCTAACAGTGACCACATGAATCTGTAGATCTGTTTTCCTTTAATTATATTAATCAATGTGTCTATAATTTTGTGGCTTTTACAAAAAGGAAAATCAATAAAATCAATCCTAAATAAGCAATCATTTTTGTGTTGTTTTTCCATTAAATTGTAAGAATTGACAGTTTTCACTGTTTAACAAGACTTTGTACAATTAAGATGTACTTTAAATGTAACTAACACAAAATACGCGATCCGCAGTAATTAAATCTACGATTGATTGCTTAAAATAGTCACCCGTCTAGAATAATTAAGTACAGTTTACACATAAACAAAGGCAGCTAGGTTTTAAGACCTTGTAAGTCATATCCATTGATTATTATCAATGCATTTCATAAATTTAAAATACTTTGTAAACAAATCGAAGTCCTCTAAGATTTGATCGAATATGTGACACACTTGTCGTTCAATTTGCAGCACCATGCTTTATTAACCATGAACACACGCTTAACTAATGTTTAAAAGCAAGCCTTTAAAATTTAAATAAGATTTTCTTCATATTCATAAAAAAATCAAAGCGTTAATCCGGGTGCCTTTTACAATTTTACACTACATCACTGAATAAAAACTAAATGTACTTTTAAGCACGACATTTAAAAAGTAAATTCATTCCGAGTTTGAATTTTACACAATTCAAACAACAATTAATTATCTAATGGACACTTTGACACTTATTTTCCAGCTGAAGTGCTTGTGAAAGTGAAAATATTTTTTTCTAAAATACACAAAATAACTTTACACCATAAAACATGGATGACCAGACTTTCAACAAAAGAAACACGTCATTTTTTTCACTCGTTATAGTCTTGTTATAGGAGAAATACAATGCCTGAATTAGCTTATTTTGACAAAGGATCATAAAATTGAAATACATGGATATAATAGATATTGTAGTTTTATTTTTCACGGATTTATGACGGTGACACTTGTCACTCTTCGGGTTAAAACATTTAAGACATTATTTCATTATTCCATTGTGACAGTCATTTTAATGTATGTTCGATACTTCCATATTGATATTTCACTTAATATCTGACTTTGAAGAAAAATAGATATATCATAAATGTTGATCAATAAATGAATTACAAGACATGTCAGATTAAAATCTCCCAGCAAAATTTAAAAAAAATAAAAAATGTTCAATCGATCTTTTTAGTGAAAACTAAATACAGGCACTCCCTTATATTAGACAATTAACTGATCTTAAAATCAATTTAAAGACCGTAATGATCTTAAGAAAAGGCATAAGCTATATATAAAAAAAGAAAAAAGAAAGAAGTCAACATATGAAATTTGAGATGACATTTTAAACCATGTTAACTTAAACCTTTATCCTGGTGTCAGCAAATAGACAAGTGCAGACCAAGTCTTTTCTGACCATAATCTGCACTGTTATCTATTAATTAAGTACAAAGAAAGTATAAATTTTAAAATTTTACCTCAAAATGATGAATGGTTTTGTCCAGATTGAAATATGGACAAGTTTATTTAGATCGTTAGGGTGATAAGGGTTAACTGCCATAATAGCATGTTTTAAACCTTGAATGCTAAATCCCTAAACCTGACACCCTTAAACCCTTGGAATTAAAAAAGAAAACCCCACAAGATAGCTTCTATGCTCTTTTGTTTAAACTTGTTAACTTACTTAAAAATTAAATCAATCAACGATCGACAGTCAATTATACAATTTTGTCATTCAAATAGATCAAGAGTTTCTTGAGTAAGTTATAATTACAAGTAAAATTTTTGGCCTTTTTTATTATACAATCGTCAAAAATTGCATAAACACATGCAATTTAAAACAATTTGTATCAATTTTACTTCAAACTGTATTTCTTTCACATGAACTATCTGAATGTCAGTCACAGTAATGACATACCCTTACAAAAAGTATGGAGCAAAGCCAGTACCATACAATACTTTGATCCCTTAACAGGATATTTGACAATGGATATAAACAAGGCTACATTGGTACAAAAAACTGTTGAAAAGATGTAAAAGAGGAAATACACAGTCAAACATAGGGAAAGTTTAAATAATTTTATCAATTATTCTACTGGTTTTGGTACTGGTATACATTCATCAGGAAGGAATGTGCAAGTTAATATATACATGCTTCCATTATAAAGGTATAGTGACCAGAAGAAGCTGATGCTTGTCATATATATATGAGCCGCGTCACGACAAAACCAACATAATGGGTTTGCAACAAGCATGGATCCAGACCAGCCTGCGCATCCGCGCAGTCTGATCAGGATCAATGGTGTTCGCTTTTAAACCTTTTAACAAGTAGAGAAACTTATAGCGAACAGCATGGATCCTGATCAGACTGCACGGATGCGCAGACTGGTCTGGATCCATGCTGGTCGCAAACCCATTATGTTGGTTTTGTCATGACGCGGCTCAAATCATCATCATGTACAGTGGGTTTTCATTATTAATCCACTGTTTATTTACTATATATTATGAACATACATTAGCTGTACACTTAAGTGTGACCGAGAAAACATAATATTATTACCTAATTCAGACTTCTTCAATGCCATTCATAATAAAGATTAACAGAATGTCTGTAAAGTTTACATGTATGTTTAAAATTAGCATTTAAAACAATAGTCCAGTGACTGAACATATCAAATATTCTTCTGTCTTTTATAATCATGGCACAGTCTTCCTATTATGTCATGCAATGTAAAAAAAACTTATTTTACATTCAAAAATTCAGTCTTAAAATAGTTTACTGATCAATATTTTACCTCTATCCTGCTTTGCTTGTGCAATTTACTGGCCAAGTTTTGATAGTTGATAAAATATATCAAGATAATAGCAACCAATCGAAGAGGCTGTCAGGACTTCATGGAAGGACAGAATAAGCTGCTTTTCATTGCAAGCTTTCAGAAGGTTTGATATATCATATTACAGGTGAACCTGATCTTTTATGACCATGATTATAACCTAAACCATGCCAATGACAGCAAACTCTGTACAAGATAATTGGTTGTTACAAAATAATGTTGACTTCTATTAATACTAACTTACATTTACATGAAAAAATTTGTAACAAAATTGGATTTTCAGTTTCGTTACCTACAAAAAAATTAATGATTGCGAGTACACATTCAAGCAACCCTTGTATCCTAAATTTGTAAAATTTATCAGTCCAAAGTGAGATCTGTTCATTAGAAAATAATCTAAGTTAAGCTGAATGGAATCAAATCCCATCAGCGGCAAGCGGTAACGTTTACATGAACAAGAAACTTTACACTCATTATTTAGTATTGGTTTGTTCCTCTGCCTGGACAGTGTGTGTATAAGCTAATAGCTTCCTACATAATCAAAATAAAATAAATTATGTATAAACTAGATAATATCAAATTTAACAATATGATTTCAACAGATTATGAGTGTCATGTGATCAATTATGAGTTTCGCTGAACAGAAGCACATGCAAAACAAGAATTAGTGAAAATGAGAAAATTTTATATTTAGAACAGATTCCCATAAACTTTATAGCACACAGTTAACTTCAAAGCAAAATAAACAAATAAATGCAAAACTCAGCGCAGTTATTCTGAAAGACTTGATTCTACGATAAAGGGAAGCAACTCCATATCTGTGCTTTAGAGGGATTTTCTAACAACAGGATTTTAAACAACAGAAACATCAGTTATTCAAAATATGATTATTGTGACAAACTTACCTGTGTGCCATGTTTGGCTTTAGTCATGTTTTCCAGTCCGGCAACACCTACCCCAGGTAACACTGGTACCCTGTGTTTCTTCTCCCCACCCCCTACCATAGGTAACCTCATACCGTATTCCATGATTGTTACAATAGTTATTTCCCTTTGCTATATACACGCCATTCATCAAACTGTTATGTACATTAGGTTCCTATTCGGTGAACATATTATAGACATTTACATCAGGATAGTGTGAATATCAACCTCCTCTGATCAAGTTTTGTCACACAAGTTTTCACCAATAATTTCAATTTTAAATGCCATGTTTCATAGTGTTACAAAAGTTACCTCCCTTTTTAATTGAATTGTTATTCCTTCTTCAAATATTATAGTCAGTTTAACACATCATACTAACATTAAAATATTCCACGGTTATCTATTAAAAATTAACACCATTCTTTGCTGATGCTCTAACAGTGATGACAATTTTATTAAAAGCAATGTCACTTAGAAATTCACTATACTCTTTGATCCTTTATGGAAACCTAAAAAACTATTCTCCGATTCCGGAGCATGTTATGGTCATCAAAGTGTATCTCGCAGTATCAGTTCCTTCATGGATTATAACTAGATACCCTATTATAATTAGTTTATTTTCAGTGAAATATTATGTACTAACAAAAATAATTATAATGTTTCCTATTTTCCTAGCTGACTTAAAAAAAAAAGTTTTTGTTATCAATCTGTAAATTCCAAACTAAACTCAACAAGCATCCAATAAACTAGGATTTTTCTTTACTTTGATCATGGTCATAAGATGCTGTCATTGAATTGTAATTAACATATAAAGAAGGTGACTATAGATGAAATACAACAGTTACTGTTCTATTTATAGGTTCTTATATGGTAGAAGGAAAAATGTTGTATTTAGAAAACTTGTTAATTATAAGGATGAACAAATTTGCTTTTTGTTTTGGTGAATCCGTTAACTGAGAAACATTGGAAGGTTACATTTCAGTTCCTATGTCATGTATATATGCATTTCCCTTTCCAAATCTGTCACAAACAGTATTACATCATATTATAATATACTTATGAGTTTCATTGAGATTAAGTTTTTTTCTTTTTTTTTTTGGTTCCTTTTCTTTGATTTTTTTTTTTGGATGGGTTTTGCCTTGCACCAACATTGTACTGATCATATCGTTTCCTTAGTGCAGAAAGTTAACAGGTTAACTCCTATTATAATTTAATAGGTGTTAAACCTATTGCACTAAGGTAACGATTTTGCTAGATGTGCAGGTACGTGGAGGACCACCTCAGATGCCCCTCCGTGCATAATTTCAGGCAAAACTGAGCACCTGAGTAAAAGACAATAATTAAGATCAACATGGCAAGGCAATGTTCACAGGATGCAGCCCCGACACACCAAAGTAGGGCACCCAGAAGGCACCCAACCAAAACCTAGAGTGGATATACGGGCGGCGAAAGGAGAGGGACATGTAATGCATGAAATAAGCCTTATAAAGAAATATGATCTCACTTTTGTTTAAAGTAATAAAGTCAAATGGATATATTTGCAGCATATTTCAGGATATGTGATAAATAGAGGATATTGAATGAGTGTAGTTTAATACTAAATTTATTGAACGAGTTGAATAAAATCATATTATGCGAGCCTCTGGCGAGCATAATATTGTTTTATTCAACGAGTTCAATAAATTTAGTATTGAATCTACACGAATATAATATTCTATTTATCACATAT